AGATCCTTAATAATGCGTTGGAGGGGTTTTAGTTGGGGGCTAAAGGTGACGGCTAGTGGCGTTCTGTTATCTTCTTTGTTAGGCCTGTCCTGTAGTAGGTGACTTCTGGGAACTCTTCTGGCTCTATCAATCTGTTTCTTCACTTCCACAGGTGGGTATTGTAGTTGTAAGAATGCTTGATAGCGATCTTGTAGGTGTTTGTCTCTGTCTGAGGGATTGGAGCAAATGCGGTTGTATTGCAGAGCTTGGCTGTAGACAATGGATCGTGTGGTGTGGTCAGGGTGAAAGCTGGAGGCATGTAGGTAGGAATAGCGGTCAGTAGGTTTCCGGTATAGGGTGGTGTTTATGTGACTATTGTTTATTAGCACTGTAGTGTCCAGGAAGTGGATCTCTTGTGTGAACTGGACCAGGCTGAGGTTGATGGTGGGATGGAAATTGTTGAAATCATGGTGGAATTCCTCAAGGGCTTCTTTTCCATGGGTCCAGATGATGAAGATGTCATCAATATAGCGCAAGTAGAGTAGGGGCGTTAGGGGACGAGAGCTGAGGAAGCGTTGTTCTAAATCAGCCATAAAAATGTTGGCATACTGTGGGGCCATGCGGATACCCATAGCAGTGCCGCTGATTTGAAGGTATACATTGTTCCCAAATGTGAAATAGTTATGGGTGAGGACAAAGTCACAAAGTTCAGCCACCAGGTTAGCCGTGACATTATCGGGGATAGTGTTCTTGACGGCTTGTAGTCCATCTTTGTGTGGAATGTTGGTGTACAGGCCTTCTACATCCATAGTGGCCAGGATGGTGTTATCAGGAAGTTCACCGATGGATTGTAGTTTCCTCAGAAAGTCTGTGGGTTTGGGGACGGGGGGGAGAAAACCTGGATTTGTGCTGGAAATGGCCCACCTTGATTATCATACACATTGTAAGGAGAGGATCACTTTACATAAGCTATTACCAGCAGGAGAGCGGGGTGGGGGGAGAGAAAACCTTTTGTAGTGATAAACATCCATTTTTTCATGATTTGTGTGTATAAAAACAAACATCTTCTATATTTTCCATAGTATGCATCCGATGAAGTGAGCTGCAGCTCACGAAAGCTTATGCTCAAATAAATTGGTTAGTCTCTAAGGTAGCATAGAATGAACTGTGTGGTCCATTTGTTAGGTAGAGGAAAGAGAGTCAGAATTCTTTGGCTCTGATCCCACCTGGCTGTATGACCTACACTATAATACTTGACCTGTACATATGTACACATAAGGGCAGTGTGAGGCTTAACTTATAAAGCACTAAACAGTATTATAGAAATGTGACCCTTATTTTTGTGTGTGTATTAATACAATGTATTGTTAAAAGGCATTAAAAAATTTGATACTATTTGACTAAGATTTGCCGTTTCGGGCAACATAAATGGTGGTGTAAGGTATCCTAATTGTGCTGCCATTGAAATCAGTGGGAGTTTTGTCTTTGATTTAAATGGGAGCAGGAGCAGACACAAGGAGTGCAATTTGGGTGGCACGGGGGCAAATTTTAACATGAGAAACAACCATTAGGCATGTGTAAGAAGGTACAAAATAGAACAGCCCTTTCAACCCTCCAGCCTTCCATACACACTTTTTTACTGCTTCCTCTTGTTTTTCCCCAGCTGCAATCCCACCCTTCTGCCCCCTTTGCTATGCAAGTTACTCGCATCCTCTTACCAGTGTATAACTTACACTCCTTCTGCCATTGGCTCTGAGTATTTACCGCCTGTCACTGGGAGTAGTTGTCTGAATTAACCTTTTGGTTTGGTTTTCCAGCCATAAGGCAGGAGTTGAGTAGAATCAGTACAACATAATGACTGCACAGCATCTGCGAGGTACTAAGGATGCTAGGAAGATTGGATCATTTCTAAGTGTACCAAGGTCATGCAAGATGGTGAAAGAGGACACCTGCACTGTCTTTGTTCTTAAACCCTTTTTATTAGCAGACTGAGCACACTTTGAAGCTTGCTGCTGCCTTGGATTTGCTTCATTTTAAAAGTCTTAATCTAAAGAAAATATTAAATTTTAAATTTCTGGATTTTTTAGATTTCATCTGACACAGCACATCAGATTTGTCAGCCCTTTTTTGTATTTTGAATTTGCTTATTTAAATGTATTATGTTTCTTTTTAGTAGTAGGTAAGAAAACATGTGAACCATTTGCTTTTAATAGATGACTTCAAAGTCATTTTACTGGTAGTCTGCAATGTAAATGAAGACCCTTTGCCAACAGAAATGTATTGTGGCATCACCAGAAGAAACAGAGACATGTTAGTTGTCAGCTGACAAGGTCTTTGACTCAGTTATCACAATATTAAAACGGTACGTCAGTGCACCACAGTATCTGTGTTCATATTGGTAATAAACTGTTTATTGTCCATATGGCCCTGCTTTTGATTTTGTTCATTAGTTGCTCTAGCTTTGCACTTTAATTTCACTGTGTTGCTCTGGTGTGTTTTCTTGCTGGTTTTGGAGGCTCTGGTGAGAACACAAGAGCAAGGCTGCCTGCATGTTGTGAAATCTCACGTAACGTTCATTTTTAATAAAACAAGCAGGAGAGGCCCATCCATGTAGCATTAACCAGCATTTCAGAATCTGTCCAAGCAGGCAACTCATTACCTGCTCCCCTTTCCCTGACCACTCCTAGCAGTGCAAAGCCAGCGGTGCAGCAGCAGCTCCAGGAGGGGAACAGCTGGCTGCTAGCCCCATCTTCCTGCAGCAGTTGAGGCACAGAGTCTTACCTCTGCCCTCTGTCCATGATGACCAGGGCCAGACTGCAACCAGGCTACTAGAATCTGGAAATACCACATCCCTGAGTTTGTCACAGCCCTGCAAACTCATATAGTCATCAGTAACATTTACTGACCAGTACTTGGTCCCAGTGTCCCACTGCTCCACTCAGATCACCACTAACCCCTCCCCTCTCTCACTCATTCATTTCCTGTCTCCCTCCTCCTCCCCCACAAAAACCCCAACCCCATTCCCTGACTTTTAATTTGTAAAGGGTTTTTTGTTTTGTTTTTAAGAAGGCTGCAGCCTACTCAGAGTAAGGGTGGGTGACAGTTAGTAAAGCTGCAACAGCATGGTTGCAGTTATTGATGATCTAAAAATTTCCCATGGTTGCTCACATGACCCTACTCCAGGCAAAGCCTAGAGGCTGCCTTTAGACAACAATCCAATTGAGATTGGGCATTTCAACCTCTGCATTGTCACACCGCAGTCCTGGAGGCAACCTTGGTACCTGGTACTTGACCTTTGTTTTCTGTAGTCCAGCACTGCCTGCCCACTCAGCTCTTACTACTTGTGCAATAAGTATGGGCCATTCTTTCAGCCAAGTATAGGCTTGAGAATTTCTCCTAACTTAGGTCTGTTTAAGATTTACAAGAGCAGAATCCTTGTTCTGTCCTCCTGCCCTGGATCATTTTTTGATGCATGAAAGAAATCAAACAGTTTGAGCTCACTTCTTATTAAAACTGTCATTTCCCACCTACAATTGCGACTGAAGCAGTAGCTCCTGCAGTCAGCTTTTGAAAAGCCCAGATCGCTCGAACTGTGCAAACTTCTTATTTCATGAGTGAAGTCTAATCAGCTGAAGAGCATGTAGTATTTTATTTAGGCTTTTGGACTCTCTTTGAGCAGTGCTAAATTAATAGCAAAACAGAAAAAGCAGCATAGAGGCAAGTAATGAGGTAGCAGCTGATACAACAGAGGAAGGATGATTTGCTCAAGAGTAATCAAAGACGGCCAAGAAATTAGGAGAGGGTCAGGGTGCCTTGTAATGTTAGAAGTTTACTTAATAGAGATCCAGTTTATCAATCTGCCACAAGTCTCTCAGGCAGGGTTAAGAAATCTGCCATGCTAGTTTATACCATAAACTGAAAGCAGCAAGACCAAGTGAAGCAGGATCGAGGGAGCATTATGTTTAGAAATAGCAGAAGTTTAGACATTTATGTACAGTTTGTTTTTCTGTACAAACAAAATGATTCACAGACACTTTAAAGTAAGATAATATTGTAGAAGAGTGTTTAGTCTTAAGCTAGTCTGTTAACAGTTCAGCACATAGTGCAGTTGTCCTGTAAGATGTTAATTCAAGGTATTAGAAACCCTGTTTCTCAGTTTGCACCTCCAAAAGAATAGAAGCTTACGGCTTTTCCCTGAATACATTAGCCCCAGAAAGGCTATAGCTGATCTCCTCTTGGACTATGGTTCTGTGCTCAGTCATAATGGCACCATTCTTATTCAACAGATGCATATGTACTATATGTATTGAATCATGCTTACAACCATCACAGGAAGGAGGTTAGCCCTGCAGAGCTAATTACAGAGAAAGTTGAATGAGCAGGGTTTTATTCTGACTCACATGTTCAACAGCATCAGGCCTGATGTCTCAAGGGGAGTGTGCTTGGCAAACTGAAAAGCAATCTCTCCACTACATTGATTAAGTTGATCTGACACAGATGAGAATAGGAAATGAAGTTCCAGCTTCATTTGTACAGTCACTGTCCAGATAACTTCACTGGATGTGACAGACCATACCATTGTGTTGCTCATGGCAATAAGATTCCAGCTTTTTTTTCCATCTACTCCATTCTGGGTCTGTCCCTGCCTTCCCAATCCCAGATGATGTGGCAGCAATATTGCAGCAGCTGTTGACCCAGCTGTAATCTGCTCAGAAACCAAGATGTAGCTCAGAGATGACTGTACTTGAAGTAGCATGTATAATACAGCCCTAGCCCTCATCCATCCAAAGAAGCAAGAGGTTGAGTTTGCTCTTGAATCCAGGCTGCCTCCTGCTTGCATTGACCTATTCAGGCAAGCCAACCACCTGTTTGAAGTATGTTTCTCCATTCCTCCCAAGCTTAGAAGCATTCTGTACCCCAGGACAGGTCTAAATTGAATCTCACCCACCACACATGCATGATCCTGATGAAAAGGGGGAAAAAAATGTTTAATATGGATTTAAAATGTAAAAGTTTCACCAAGGTACAAAGGATGGTGAATCTATGTAGCCTCTGCTATAAACATACATGTGTGATATCCTGCCAAAGAGCAATGTTACATAAGCAAAAATCCTTTTAATAAAAGTTACAGTATTCTAAAAGACAGTGCCTGTCGTTTGCTTCAATATTTTATCACCTTTAGTACTACAGAAAAGGTAAGTGCATAGAAATATTACTTCAGATCATTTTTAGCTCTGAAAACTCAAGTTCACAAATTTTGGATTTTTTTAAAACATTATTAATGAAGACACTAAAGCAAATCTATTGGTTTTCTGTTGCTAGTTTGCATATTCTCTTAATCCGTGAGTAAGGACCAATGGTGTCATCAAAAACAAAATCCCAAAGAACTCGAACCCAAGATTGGTGCTGAGGAAGGTTGTCATAATATTCTGCTGCTATCTTCTTCACCTGAAAAGAACAAGAGACCCATTTAACCAGCATTGCATTGTCAGGGGTTCTTCTGTATCTAGTTTAGATTGTGTCTTGCCCACTGTAACTTTAAGATCCACACCATTAAGTCTTTCAGTGAAAAAGCATCCCATGTCACAATCTGCTGAATGACTATGAATGACGTAGCATTTTAGACAACTATTTCTACTGGAAAGAAATGTTGAACTAGAATTCCATATTTTCCTCTGAGTATTTTTGCACACAGTGTTTAGTAGTCCACTTTATATGACTGAAATACTCCAGCAACAGCCTTGCTTGCACTAGAAATAAAAAAATATTACAGAAACCAAAGTCTGTTTAGCTGTAGCATCTAAATTCTGCACCACTTCAAGTTTCCCTATTTAATAGTTGCTGTTAATTTAGTCTCAAACTAATCTGGCATCCCGTTAAATTTTCCAGTAGACACGGGCCTGATAAAGAATTCAGGGATGTTCTGGTTCTAGAACTTTGGTTAAAAAAAAAAAACCCAAAAAAACTCTGATCTGTATCCAGGGCCAGTTGGAAACTTCATAAGAGGCTCCTATCTCCAATGGACAGAACCAACTGTTTGGTCCAAACATGCCCCCAGAATTTGAAAAAAAAAAAAATATATATATATGGCTTTGAATCTAATCTTTGTATTTTGGTTACACGGGACTAGAATTCAGCAGCCAGAACTAAGTCTTTTATGAGAAGGGAAGGGAGACATGGATTAGTCTGATTCATCATGAGAACAAGGCCTTGTTTTGAGCTATCAGGACTCCATCACAGCATAATTCATGTATTTTGTGCCACCCACTTCTGAACATGATTAAGGGTTCAAGAACAAGTGGCAAGTCCGTGAAAGATCAAACCAGTTCAGAAGACACAGTGAGTGCTGCTTGGCCACAGTTCTGTTTCTCCCTGTGCGCCATTACTAGCTGGTATTGTAGCTGCACACCTGATCTCAGAGTGACAGAAATTCACCTTGCCTGCTCTCAGAAGTGCTCTCTCTATTGCTGTAGGTAGGTGCAGGCTGCCCTTCCCATATAGCGGAGTTTCCATTTGGGGGGCTGTAAACCTTAAGTGACGATATCTGAACAAGTTTTTTTAAATCATTTTAAAGATTTTTAGTGGGACAAGACAACAGCTGAAGTGTAGCTGGGGCAGGGAGTTGGTTTTGCAGGGGGGAGGGACAGCCTGAAAAGGAAGAGATGTCAAGAACTCATGGAATTGGGAAGCTATCGCAACTTGAGCACGAGCCATACAGTGGTGATACAGTTGCTATTACCAACAAACAGCTCAGCCCTCTGTTTCTGCACGTACTTGAGTGTAGCAGCAAGAGACTCAGTGGAGCTGCTCTGCGTTTGCACAAACTGGCCAAGATTATTCTTATCTAGGCAGATTTTTATTTTTTTAAATTGAACTCAGCCCTTTAGACAAACAAGGGCATAATGCCCCAGGCAGAGTAGTGGAGCTGAAAGCAGATTTCCTTCCAGAACATTATTTACCCAGTATTTAAAAGCCAGCGAGGTTGTTAAATGCAATAAAAATTCCCCCATCCCTTCCCCCATTTAAACTTGGGCTTTTATGAGCCATTCTTCCCATAGCGCCATTTATATGCAAGTTTTTGACCTTCAGTGAAAGAAACTCAGATAAAGTTAAAGTGTAAACCAGTGTTAGTCACACTGTAAATTCATTTACCTGTTTTTATACTTCTCCTTTAGCATGAATTGTGTAATACAGTCCCAACACCCAAGAAAAGAGGAAGTTACTATGTTAATAAGGACTTGGATGAACAGTGCTATATAAATGCAAGGGCTGAAAGCAATCCACAAGCCTTACGAACAATACACACACCTCCCATGAGATAGGGTATTGTTCCAGGACACCAGGGTTAAGACCCAGTTCTGGTTATCACATTCTGACATCTCATAAAAATGCCACTGTTTCCATTAGAAAATATTCTTCACAACCTATTTTAAAGCTATTGTGAAGGGCTGATATGCAGTATTATAACAGTTCCTTCATTTCACCCTAGAGATGGTGACCATGCCAATGTTCCCTCTAATTTTTAACAGGCCATGTGCACAAAAAAATTCTGTACGCACAGTGTTTCGTGGTGTGCGTGTGGTTTAGGATCTGTGTGTGTGCACACACTCACAGCTTAGAGGGAACAGTGACCATGACCCATATGTGGTATTCATGTATCAGTTCAGGAAAGGGTGATTGAATGGGTAAGGTACTGGCCTAGGACTCTTGAGAGCTGTAGTTACACCCTGGTTCTGCAACGAACTCCCTGTATGACCTTAATCTCAAATCATACTCCCTCTGTGAATCAATTCCTGTCCCCCATTCTGTAAATTGGGATAATCCTTCATTTCCCCCTGTCTTGTCCATTTAAATTGTAAGCTCCTTGGGACAAACCTTATCATTATGTGTTGTCTACTAAATCGGGCCCAGAGCCCAAGCCTCTAGGTGCTACTGCAATACCAATTAATAGTTACATTGGCAAAGCACACTGGGATCTTCTGGGAAGTGTAAAATCCTTTAAGACTATTAGATTATCTCCCTCTCCACTGAAATATAGCCACCACCGGCATGGAAAAGCAACTGCATATGATGGTTAGTGAAACTAGAGAGAGAATTTTAGGTAAACTGATTTGGCCAGGATACCAAGGGAACATCCTTACTCTTGCAATACTATCATGGGCTTCTTTTTAAATGGCCCTGGATAATCAGGAGCTTGGTTTTATGTCCCATCTGAGTCTACATCTCTAACAGCATATTTCTCTTCACCACTCCTCCTTCACCCTAATGCTAAGGCAGTGGTTCCAAAAAGACCAAGTGCTATCTATTAAGCATCACCACCACTTCCTGAAGCACTGGGATTTTCCTCTGGCTGCCATGTGGGTATGGGCACAGGCTGTTTAATTTTCAACAGGCATCAAACTCCTCATTGTATTGTTCTCTGATCCCATAGTTAAGCATCCTGCTATGTTGACAAACTCCTGCCCATGTTTTGAAGGGAGCTGAACACAGCTGGCTTTGTTCAACAATCAGTTTAAATAGCAACTCTCAGGCTGTCTATGCTACACAAGTTGAGTGTGCCCAGAATTGTATCATCCCTTAATATGCTCCTAACATCTCATGTAAGAGGGCCCTACAGTTTATAAGCACACCAAATATGGGTTCAGTAAAATATGCTTCCAGCAAAGTTAGAGCCCAGTTTAGTGCTAACTGGATTTAGGCTGGAACAGTTTAATGTGAATAGCACTAATGAGTCAGAAAGTTTTCCCAATGTTGTCCCACTCTGCATGGGGAAGGAGGCTTTATATCTCCCAGAGACCCGCTGTTTCTGAGAGCAGAGCCAGGCTCTGCAGGATTGGTACCTAGGGGACATACTAAAATGATTTAGAGCAGCCCCACTGTGGCTGTAGGGCAAAATGGCACCATGAGTTGGCTGGTCTACCGTGGACCCAGCTTGTGCATAAAGCAGTTCCATCCCACCAGTTCAGTTAGGAAGGGCAGTCCTATAACCGACCCCGGGGCACGAGTAGCAGCATCAGTACACCTCTGGGACTGGTACCAATAGAGAGAGAACGAAGCATCGAGCTTTAGAAACCTTACCTTAAAATATATCTGTTTGAACAGTAGTATTAGATTTAAGGAATTATCTACAATGCCAATATTTCTTATTGGAGGATTAAAGTTCATGATATCTAGACACTCAACTTCCCTGCTTTTTATCCAGCACTTACAGGCTGCAGATGTACCGTACTCCATGTCCTAAACATTGATTAGCTGGTGTCTGGAAAACACCAGCATTCTGAGGGTTAAGTCTGATGGCCTATTTCCTGTATTGTGACCTACTGGAAAGTGCACTGAAATAAAAGCACTGAAGTTCTGTGCAGTTCTGCTTTGTAATGTTTGTTGACGAACTACCCCTATAAAGAAATCCAACATGAAAACAGTGAGCATGTTTAGTTGTCTATGCTAACAGCATCACCAAACATGAACCATGTACATTGATTTAGACATAAGGAAGCGTATTTTAATGCAAGTTTTATTTTAAAACCATAACACTGACAGATCAGCAAACTGAAGTTAAAGTGCTATTAAATGTACTCTGGCCTGATAATGCAGATAAGGACAGGTACCCTATAATAGTTATCTTTCCAGTCACTTAACATCTGCTATAGTATTACTCGAGGGCAGTAGTCCACAGTATTAATTTCATTTGATTGCATTACCATTATCTCAAAGAAAATGGAGGCATTGTGATTAAAGTATAGGACTGGGAGTCAACGCCTGACTCCTATTCCTGGCTGTGCCACTAGCTTCCTGCATTATCTTGGGCAAGTTACTTTACATCTCTGCCTCAGGATCCCCCCCCAAATCTGTAAAATGGGTATACCAATACTCCCTTTCCTCAGAGGGCTGGTGTGAGGCTTAACTTGTTGGTGTTTGTAGAGAGTTTTGATACCTTCAAGTGGAAGGCACTACAGCAGCCTGAAGCATCGCCCTAATGTCTACAAGAGGCTGGATCACTAGTTGGCAGGTGGTATGTTGAGGCCAGTGCTCATGCTCCTAAGCTGCACTGTGTTGTTGTTTGCTTGTGCTCCCCCTTTAACCAACGGATGTCTCTTCTCTTAAAGTTCTTGCAAGCACTGAGACAGGGACTTTGTTGTCCTTGTCATCCTCCTCCTCCTCCTAGTCTTTCCTTAGACTTTCAGCACTACTAAAGCACTTACTTTGGAAAGTGATGAATACAGCTGTACTAAAGCACTGGAATCGCAGTGGCGTCTAAGCGCTCCAGTTATAGCCCTGTACCCTATGGTGCGTGGGTGCTGTAGAAAGCCAACAGTGATAAAAGTAGATCATAAGCTAGCTGTGAGCAACTGGATAGTTCTAAGGTATGCGTAAAAAGCCAGCTAATTCCACTGCTTCTGCTGTCAATTTAAACTTGTGCTTCAAACAAGCACAGCTACTAGAGTTAT